TGGTAGGACCAGGAGTGCAGTGCCAGGTTCACAGCTTCCTTCTGGATGCTCTTTGCAAGCCTAGAGCTACCTTCCACGTTAAATAGGCAGATTCACTTGCTGATTAAAAAGCATTGTTAATTTAGAAGGAAGGCCACATTCTTTCTCAACACCATCATTAATTAAAGACTAGGAAATTGCCAATTCACCCAACATTCACATCCTTAGCAGCCTGTGCTCACATAATTTATTGCCCAAGTATCTTAATGCCCAACTGCATGCTGAGGCCCGCGCACAAAACCTTGACTCCAATCTCATGCATTTTTCCTATGCATAATTAAGATGATTGCCTCTTTAAAACCTTGAGTATTTTTGGTAAAACACCTTTGTTTTTCTGAGGTTGGGTTTCAGATTGTGCCCAAACATGGGCACTGATTGTGGACGCAGTTTTATGAAACCGCGTCTAATCCTGTGTGCACGGGAGTGAATCATAACCCCAGATGAAAAGAGCTCCTTCGGGGCTCTGGGAGGAGAACAAACCATGGCACCCAGCACTCCTCGAGGTTGTACAATTATAAACTGTCTCAGGTTGAACAGAGAACAGAGCATTATGCTGGTAAGAGTAATGTAAGTATGCAAAATCCACTTACAGCTTAGACGCATCATTCATGAGTTACACCGTGGCTCCTAACTCATGGCAGCGATGAGTGTCTGGCAATCCCCACCATCTGGTGAACTCTGATGTGTATTTGAACAGCACGCTGTGTTAGTGTGCCTATATACAAGACATATTCACACACAACATATAGTGGCAGGGGAAAGAGAGAGGAATTATGTTTCAGCTGTGAATGACTTATATTTACTCGAGCAGCAAAGAAATAGCTGATAGCTCACGAGTGATCAAAGCTGGTGGTGAGTTATTGAGGTCTTTCCTCACTGTGAGGAAGATATAGCACATTTCAACCTGCTGTATATCCTTTTAGTCCAACACACACATTTTAATACTTATTTTTATTTTGGCTTAGAGGCTTTTCTCTTTTGCCCAGCAAGAGATTTTTTTTTTATTATTTTTTTTTTTTGCAGTCTCTGCTTCTCTGTCTGATGCCGATGCCAGAGACAGAGCAGATTGGGAAGCCTTTGAACACATTACTAGTTGAACTCAGATGAGATTTTTTGTATTGCTTGGTTGCAGGCTCCTGTGATGAGCATAAGGAATGCAGTTTTGATTGACATTATATACTCTTAAAGCAAAAGTGATCTATCAGCATTCAGGCGCCCACAGCTTGTTTTTCTCTTTTATGACAGAGAATAGCTATGTTGCAGTTGTGCTGCAGCGATGAAGGTTGCGTTGCAGTTTCTCTTTGAATCCTCTGATGGAGGAGGTAGCGAGGGGTGAGTCAAATCTGGGCCATTTTAGGTCACTCCTAACAAGCCGGGCTTGAGGATCTTCTCGGTTTCGGTTGCTCTGACTGTTTTGTGTTCAGCCAGAACTTCCTTTGGTAGACCGGCATTCTCATTCCAGTACAGAATATTTGTACAGATGACACAACCTCATTGTCTTCAGCTCTGGTCGCTTTAAAGTGAGTTTTTACAGTTAAAACATCCGCGATCTTATACCACAAAGAGAACTGGTTTGGAGAGAAAATGCAATATATGCTCAGCCTTAGTCTGGGTGTGAAGCACCTCCTCTCCTCTTTCCTCCTTTTGCGCAGCCAAATGTGAAACCTCTTCAAAATCAGTTGCTCTCCAAATGAGTTATTGTTTGGCCTATGGTCTCTAGAGAAGACAGGTGAGCATCCTCTGAAAGAAAACGCAGTTCTGCAAGTTCACCTTCAAACAGGGGAGTGTCAGGTGGTGTTTCTCATGCAGCTGATGTGTGTAGAACCAGGCAGATAGCTGGCCTTCCTTTCCGTGCCTGTGGGATGGGTGCAGTGCTCCTTACTGCCCTCACTGCATTGGTGCCAGTGTGCATCAATACATCTCCTGGGACATGGGAATGCAAAAGAGCCTTCAGATTAAACAGATTTGTTATTAGGGGCTTTGTAACCATTTGTAAACCATTTGAATCTCGCATAACCTTGGAGGAAGAGTGCTGAGATGCAACTGTTACAGCAGTTTTAAGAAACTATAGAATGCAAAAGCTCTTTAAGAGTCAGATGATGCTGAGCATCCTTGCAACTTTTTGGTGCCACCTTTTCCACCTAGCAAAGCTTCTTAGAGGGTAGATGTGCAACCATGGCATGCAGTCAGTCCATCTGGCGGTGACTGCTTAAGGGAGATCCAGTGATGAGCTGGAGAGGAATCTGAGGGTTCTCAGGGTGGGTTGCCCTGACCCAGCTGACAGTGAGTCAGGGGAACTTGCCCCATGTGGGGCTAGCTGAGGTTCTATCTTGCCCCAGATGCAAGTTTTGGAGATGTTCAAGAAGCAGTAGTTGGAAGAATTTTAACAGTTTTTTTTTTCTAGAGATGTAGGTATGTGGGATGCTGACAGTACATGCCAGGTTTTGGAGCTCAAAATGAATGATTAAATAATTTGTAATTAATGTAGTGAGTGGGAAAATAAACATCTGAAGATGGTAATTTTCAGGAAGTGTTTTTAAGACCTTCAGTGTTACATTTTCCATTTATTTAGGCAGACTTGGCTAATTGTTACAGAAGGAAAAAAGTTGCATTTTTGTGGGCAGTGAATGCCTCTGTGCTGGGCATGTCCCCAGTTATGTAAGTCCCCATTGAATCATTGGTTTGATGAAGGAATGGTGACTGAACGTGTTAGCTCAGCATCCCCCCCCCATAGCCCTCCTCTTTCCTTCCAGGTCCCACTCTTGGTGTTGTCCAGTTTCCGTGTCTGTGCCCATGCTTGATGCAATGTGCTCAGGAGCAGACGGATGGTGAGACTTCAGCCCCACCTCCCAGTGTGCTCACAGAGCCCACGTTTCGTGCCGTATGCATGAGCACATATCAGCAATAGGGCACACGGTGTTTGCTTTGCATGAGCCCCTCGGTCCCTGAATGAGAGCGTCGCTGTTTAGGTCAGGTGCTCCACCCCACATCCCTCCCTCAAAATATAGCGAGCGAGGACATGGCTGTGTTTAAACAGAGGAGGATGGGGCACACGTGTGTCGAAAGCCCTGTTTCCCAGTGCCTGCTTTGAGGATTTGGAACAGATTTTGTTAGCAGGTATGTCTGGTGCCATGTGGCTGCGCACCAACGTGACGCTCTGAACAAAACCTCAGCTCGGCGCTGCTTTTCCTCCTTTGCTTTGCGGCGCCCGGGTTTTGATGTCTTGCTTCTCAGAATGCTTGACGGTAGTAATAACGGAAACAGCAAAAAATGTCAGCTTGACTACTGTCTGCGTGTCGGCACTAGTCCAGGGAGTTTCAAAGAGATGTTTTATTGATTCTGTAATTGCACAGTAGAATGGACAAACTGAACTGCACCTCGGGGCAAGGAAAGCCCCTGTCTAAGCGGCATCTGTTGGAGGCATGCGCTGCTGTAATTTGGGCAGGGAATGCTGGCTGCACGGTTGGAACCAGGGGACTGGAATCTTGGATTAACCCTTTTGTTGTAGGCGATGGAACTTCCCTTCTTCTGCTCATGTACGAGCTGACTTTGGGGTCCCTGTTGTGCCAGCGCTGCTCCTGGGGGCTCTGCGTGGCTGTGTGAAGTCACTGCCTCTGAGCTCTGGTGTCCCCGATGCTAGGGCATGTGGCATTGCCTCACTTGCAGTATCCACCTCTTCCTAACTGAAAAACTGGTCATCATCTCTTATGAAATAAGGCTGCGTTGTGCCGCTTGCTCCTGGGAGCTGATAACTTCCTCTAGCACAAGCTGATTACTTTCCAAAACTGAAGGAGTGGACTGAGCTGTTTTGCTAAAACAATTGCAAATTAAATTTGTAAACTTTTGCTATTGCCATATTTTTTCACTGGCACTGGCTGTCTGTGTGCTGTGTCTTTAATTTGGTGAGAACACTAATCAATTAGAATAACCCATGGCAATGCAAAAGTGGTGGAAATAAATACAGAGAGTCCTTCACCTCGCTTGGAAAGCCCATGGAGGCTGCATGCTTAAATCACAAGTTATTGTCAATGGTTCTTAATTTTTTAGGCTCAATGCAGGGGTGTCCAGGGTTTCACCCTTGTCCCCTCTCCCTTATGGTCAGTAGACAGCAGAAGCAGCACTTTTCCCTGGGATGTTGGCTGCAGTTTTAGGGCAGGAGCTGGGCTGAGAGTGTGGGCACAGAACCAGCAGCTCCCGAACCAAGCCCTGTTCTGGGAGCTCCCATGGCTTATAATTAGGGCCATGATTAGGTCATTGTCTTCCCGAAGCTGAGCTGGAGCTTGGGATGTGATGTGCTGTTTGTTTTTGGAAGTTGTGCAAACCTTTAATACGTTGTTTTGAAATCTGAATATTAAATGTAATGTTCTTCTGAAGTGTTGCTGGGACATGCAGCACCATCCTGTCCTGTGCTGGATTTTAACGGGCTTTAAAAGAACATTGTTTTAAATGGAAGAAAGATGTGTACTTGACTTCTTGGTATTTTCTGTGGCTGCTGCTGAACTCCTGTATCTGGAACCTTCTTTATTGTAATGGCATTGATAGACACATGAAAACAGCAAGGAATTAATATTGAGGTTGATGAGGTAAAGGCCATCTTCGTTTATGTGCATTGAGGAAGTAAAATGGTGGAAGATCCCACCGGTGGGATCTGCTCAGCTCCCTGGTGGGGTTTCAGAGGCCTGTATGTTCTATGCTAGCAGGAAGGGCTGCACATGGGGCTGCTGCCAGGGGAAGAGCAGCTTTGTTCTGCATTGGGAAGAGAACGTTGAAGATCTGCTGATAAGCAAAGGAGGGGAACAGTACCCAGAGCGCAGCTGATGAAGTGGTCTCATTGCATCATTAATCCAGACTACGCTTTGAGCCCTGCAGAAAGAGCAGTAAGGTCTTGATGTAAGTGAGGTCTTGGTGGCGTGACTTGTAAGGGCAGCTCATCTTTACCTAATTCTACATTAAATTCACAGCCGAGGTACGGAAGCTGTCCGGCGGAGCAGCGCTGAGGTCGCTCCGGAGCGCTGATGGGCGAGGCGTAGCACGGGCAGCATCACTGTGCAACTCAGACTCCAAATTTGGAGGTAGGTTTGTTGAGAGCAGGATGGAAATTAAAATATCGGACTATGAGCTAATAGTTTAACATTTGGCTGAATCTTTATCACCTTCCTCCTCCAACTCTGACTCCTGTCACAGCGCTTACGATTTCAGTCTCGATCATCTGCCCCTTTCTGTTGTCGTTCTGTAACAATGGCGAGGTGAGCGCGACTGAAAACACAGAATGTGCACTAATATTTCCTGTGCCACATCAGATCACCAAAATGACTAAAGAACATCCTGAACGCTAAAATTCTCAGCACATATTTTCTGTCAACACTAACGCTGAGGTGGAGTTGCCCCAGCCAATCAGACATGGGGAAAAACACAGACTTACTGACCCAGAAAGAGCTGTAGTTCCCAATTTTTGCAACGTCTCTGCTCTGATTGGCAAGGAAAGGTGGTCAGAGTTGGAATCTGCAGTCGTGCAGTGCTTAGAAACCCCGAAGATGCTCGAGGCACTGCATACTGCGAGAGCCAGGCGTGGCCCTAAGGGCAGTAGCCATGGGAAGCAGGCGTTTTGCCAAAGCTCTGCTGCTGTCAGTGTGCTTTGCTGATAGAAATCATTCATGCTTTTGGCAGTAGTATCTGTATCTGCGTTTGTGATGCTCGAAGTCCATTGATGACTAGTTAAAAAAAAATGTGTAGATAAGCTGACTGTTCTTGCACCCAAAGCAGAATAAAGGGGTCAGTGCTGAGCAGCGTGCTGGACCCTGCTGGTGTGACATCCCAGTGCCAGCACCTCCCTCTGGAACAGGCCGAGGGAGCTCACAGCTGCGTTTTTTAACCTATATTTTAACCAACCTTTAATTAATTATTTCAGTTCCTGGAAATTTCTGCTTAGGATTTGATTGTAAGAGCCAGGTCTCCAGAAGATTAATTTGTCCTTTCGGAGTGCAGACAGACCGTTGCTGTTTTATAATATCGACGGTGGTTGCAAGGAGCAAGGAAGGATGCAGTAAAATACAGCCGTGCTGACAGTGTAGAAGTAGCGCATCTTCTTGCTGCTTGATATTTTGATAGAAACCTTTTGTCGCTTTAAAAACTGGCTGTGTATCAATATGATATGTTAAAAACAGAAGTAGGAAACTGCAGGCTTTTAATTTTTGCCATTTGAACCCTCTTACCTTGGATGAACGCAGCGTGTAAATTACAGTTCCCATGAGGTAAAAATCAGTCAAATGCTACTTAACCTTTCCTCTGCCATGTTTTGTGGTACGTTTCTGCTGAAGAGAGTATGTGTGTACGCCTTCATCTCGCTGCTGCGTGAAATTCCCGTAACAGCGCTGAATTTCTTGAGATTCCGATTCGAGGTAAGCAGAAATGCTGCACTCATAGAGGTTGTAGAGCTGAGCGGTTTCAGAAGAGCTGTTTGCCCTCCGTAGGTGAGGAGCTGGCACGGCTGCGTTTGGCACAGCAGCTGCCCTGTAGCAGCCTGGTGCGGTGCTGACAGCCGGGCTGAGTTCCTACCCGCTTCCATTGCAGCAGTTCTTTGCATGGGCTGTCCATGTGTTCCAGTCCTGGATTGGCATTTTGCAAGGCTGGGCTCCTGCAAAAGTTATAATTTTTTTTTTCTTACTGGTTTCAGACAAAGCAGTTCATGTATTCAGGTGGTTTAGTATAGAAAGTGACTTCTCTCCCTGATAATTTCCTAGTAAAAGAATCAGAAATGTGTCAGTGTTGAGACTTGACATTCAAAATACCTCACCCAGAACCCACTGTATTTCACAGAAGTAATTTTCTCTTGATTTGCTTATGGTCCACAGTGAGGTTGGCGCCCAACTCCGCACTTACATTCTCCACTGAACGCTTTTAGTGTGACTCTATCAAATGTTCCCTGGCGCTATTTGAAGACGCTCTTCTACTTTCAGGAGACCGTTTTTCTTCTAAGCAAAAGCAGAAAAGAGATTTGAAATGTTTTCTCAGTGAACATTTTCATTTGAAAAACAAAACAAGAAAACAGTGAAAAAAGGAAATTGGGGAAATGAGAAATATTCTCAAAATAGCCGACTTCAGAGTCTGTACAATATTTGCATTCTGTTAATTCAAGGGCTCCTGCAAAATGAGACAAAAAGGAAATAAATGATGTCTTTGTAGTGAGCTGGGGCGATGGCGCTGGGAACAGGGCTGGTGGGGCTGTGGCCAAACAGGAGCTGTGCGGAGCCAGGCGTAAGCAGCGGCCCCGACAGCCCTCGCTCTGCTCACCTACCTGCAGGGGAGGCTTCAAAGTCCAGTTGAAGCATTTAAGAGCAATAGTTTTAACACGTGGAGAAAGGAAATGAAATTTTCTCCAACAGGACATGGTTGGAACAACTACAGTGAAGGAAAGTGGACAAGTTGGTGTGATTTGTCGTGCTACAAAGGAGTTGGCAACGTGGATATCTTCTATATTTAATGGTATGCATTAGATACCATATAGAAATATTATTACATCTTGCAGTTAATGAGGACAAACAAATTGTTGCATGTGTTCAGTGTGGCAAAATAAAAGCTTGTGGAGGAAGTTCTTGCTTTAAATAAGCTCAGTTTCAGTCATAGTGGTTCATGTACCCAGGACCAAACTGTGACTTCTTGTTTTAATTCTCTTTTTGCCTCATGCCTAAGGCAGAATTCCTACTGGTGTCAATGACTGAGAATCTGCAGGTGTTCCTCTGGGTAGAAAATGAATAAAAATAGAGGAAGGGCCACGAAAATTGTTTTTTCTTCTTGTTGTGTACATTGGTTTTGATTCAGTAGAAGAGTTTTCCATGGGTTATGAGCACTGACAAGGGTGTATCGGGCTGTGTTGCTCCTCTCCAGTTTGTGAGCCTTGTACGGTTTTTACGAACAGCCTGGCTGGTGTATTTTAGCCCTAATACGGAGTGAGAAGCTTGGGCAAATCAGCTGCTTCTTCAGTGCAGAAAAAAGGGAAAATAGAGGAGGAGCAAGGGAGCTTGGTAAGCCTGGAACACACTTGTGCAGCCCTCAAGCACAGTGCTGAGAAGGGTTCTTTAGCTTGTAGAGTTGAAAAGAAAAGCCAAAATTTGATGTAAATCATTCAGACCTGCATTGATGTAAAGAGCTTTAACTGGACGTAGACTCCATTTAAAAATGGAACAAAACAAAATGAAAATGCTTGTACAGTTTGCATTTGTTTTAGAAGCAAAAGCTTAGCGGACTCCATGCGGTCTTCAGATGTGTAAGTAATGAAACTACAAAGCATTACTTTCTCTTGTGGACAGTCCCTAATTTTCCCCCGACCTCTCCAAAAGCCCAAGCAAGAATAGAAAGAAGTTTCAAATGTGAAAAAATGAAACCTGCTATTTACTGATGCTTCAAATGTGAAAACCCAGAACAAGATGGGGAAGTCGCTGGCTCTGGGGAAGAGTGTGGGACAGTCTGTTATTTCTAGGACTTGCTTGTTTTGGGAAGTCCTTCGTCCTGGGGAAAAAGCTGGGTACCAGAAGCCAAGGGTCCCTGGCTGTGAGGGTGAGCCTGCCTTGCTAAGCCATTTGCAGGTGGAAAGGCACTGGTTGTAGTGGGCAGTGCTGCCCTGCTTCAGTGCTGTGATGGCTCTGGGAGGAGGAGATGTGGGACTGGGAGACATGGTCCCAATGCGCGGCGGGCAGGGAGTCGAGTGCTGCAGGGATGCTGCAGAGCTGAGCTCATGTGTGTACTGAAGGTTTTAAGAAGCTTTCATTGAGGATGATGGAAGATGAAGAGCTGTCAGGGTTTTTTTTGAAGGGAGCTATAGAAGGAAAAATATTCTTGATTTTTTTTGTTTGTGACATGTCTGAAAATAACTCTGTAGTGGAAAGATTGCATTGTGCACAGAGCAGCAATGAAGCAAACTAGTTTATTGGTGTTATTTTTCTCCTGCAAACACTTCATTCCACACTGTTTGTTGGAGCACCCTTTTAGCTGGGACAGTTTGTGTGCATGAACTGAACAGAAGTGAAGTTGGGAAATCATTTGACCTTCTGATCTGTGTAATCAGCAACAGAGACGTACTGCAGTGTTGGTGTGACACAGCTTTAGGTGGTTTGGTAATGTAAATGAGGCCAGTAACCTGAGCTCACTATTTTTTCAACTCGGCTTATTTTCCTCTAGCTCTTTCCTCGATATTGCACATAAGGCAGCTATGCAGGTGGACTGGAAATGCCTTTTGCAGCTTTGCAGTTGTGTTGTTTTGTACACTAGAAAGGTGAGAAACTGTATGTGTTAGTAAAGCACTCTCTGAGAAGGACCGAGTAAACTAACATTTTAAAAGCCTTTTGATGGCTTAAGGAGAATTTATGGTGAGAAAATTCCAAGTTCTGTAGCCAGGGCAGCGCTCGTAGTGAAGAGGTACATGGCCGCCGTATGTACAGTAAACACAGCAATCTTAGAACATCTCTGTTATTTTGGGAAAATATTCAGACAATATATCAGTCTGGTTTTGAAACGGCTTCAAACATTTTACCACTGAAACCTCTAAAGCAAATGTTACAGAACATGCAGCTTGTCTGTTTATCTTCTCTAAAACTATGTGAAGTCATATGTGAAAAGCGATAAGAATCACAGCATCTCCTTTGGTTGCTCAACATGAGAAGATGATGAAGAGACGTTCTTCAGAAAGGCGGCCTAGCAGCCGGGCTGCTGGGCTGTTGGTGTGAGAAGGGAAGGGGTGGCTGTGACCTGGTGGGCAGGGGGAGGGCTTGGCTACAGCATTGGACCCGCACACATGCACAGCTTTGCGCTTCTGTCATCTTGAAGTTTTGGTTGCTAAACAAGAAAATTTCCCAAAGGTAAAGGAAAGTTAACACTTCTAAAGCTGCCTTACTCGTAAACAGTTTTTTTTGTGGATGAAATGGGGTCTGCAGAAACCTTGTGACAGAGCCCAGCAACGGGAGATGAAGTAATTGTTCCCACTTGCTGTTGTTCCACCAGAGAGGTCGTCCTACAAAGGTCTGGTGAATTCACGTGGAAAAGGTTCTCTCCATCCTTTGCTTTTTGTCTCCCTAGTAGA